GCGAATGCTTCGACTTCAACCCATTTAGAGTAGTAATCTGTAATAGCCCAAACAAACTTCATTTGCTCAGAGGGTTGTGGGAATGGACCCATGACATCCATAGCAAGCTTCATGAATGGGTAAGGACTACTTACAGATGATAACAGCTCAGCTAGTGAACAAATGGCCAGTGCGAAGTGTTGGCAACTGTCACATTTTCTGGTGAACTCCTCACCATCAGCCTTCATGGTCGGCGAGTAGAAACACTGCCTTAAAGCTTTGCTAATGAGTGATCATGGTCCGAAATGGTCGCCACAATACCGTAAAGCTTTGTTAACGAGCGATCGGTAGAGAAATAACTAGTGCATTGTCGTGCGGACAGGATAACTCAATGGCTTCTTTCTCTTGGAAGGATATGAGATGATCCTACACGGAATCTCCTGGTACATAACGGGTCGAGGAGACTGATGCCTTCTTCGCGTGCTTCTGAGCGGATGAGCATGTGTGCCTGACATGATAGATCCGCCAATGATCATTCTAACGGTCTTCTTGGTTAGTGGCAGAGAGGGTGTACGGCTTTGGCCTTGTTTTTCACACCGATCATCTTTGTCAAGTTCGTAGGTTCACCGTCCCTTCACGCTTAGGAATTTCTTCAAGTGTCCTCTCTTTAAGAGTTCAGAGACCTCAAGTAGGAGTGCCTTGCAATCGGTCGTCAAGTGTCCATAATCACGGTGGAACTCAAAGTACTGGTCCATATTCCTACGCTCAGAAAGAGTTGTTAGTTTACCAGGCCAACAGACGTAGTCTTTACCTCAGAGATGCATGATGAGTTTATCAGGCTTGATGTTCAATGCCTATTTATGAGGTGAGAGGAGGTGTCTCTCCTTTCTTCTGGGCGTTGATCGGTCGGTTATGTTGCCTCTGGATCGATCGCTCGATCGGTCGGGTCGCTCCGATCGACTGGTGTTCTTTTATGCGGCTGGCTGATTAGAGGCTCTGTGGAGGTGGTTCAGTTGTTCCACTCTGGTCGTTCTCTACAGCTCCTCCATCTAAATCACTCCTTAAGCCCTTGTTATTGCTTCGGCGACAGTCCTCGGTTGTCTATGGCAAATTTCTCTCAAAAAGGCTGAATCTGGCAAGAGTCCCTTTTTTAGGGCAAATAAGACAACTGTATCATAGCAGTAAGGAATTTGAGCGAGCGCTTCCTTGAACCACTTGATGTAGTTGCAGGGCGATTCATCAAGTTCTTAGACGATCGTATAGAGCTCCTCGGGTGTTATACCCATGTAGATGTTGGTCGAATAATTCTCCAGGAACACCTTGGTCATCTCCTGAAATGAGTCGATTGATGAAGGTGGGAGTTGACAGAACCATTTGAGTGATGAGTCCTTAAGGCTTTGAGGGAAGAGTATGCACGCGATGGCATTCTTCGACTCTTTTGAGATTAGAGTCCTTGTGATCACCTGTTGATGTTGATAGATGTGTTCATGAGGATCTGATAATCCGTCAAATTTTGAGAACGTCAGGCGTTGAAACTTCGGTGGGCGCGCCGTTTGGCCAAGAGTGTGAAGCAACTTTCTCTCAATGCTTTTGATGTTACTTTGTACCGCCTCTGAAATTGCCTTCTATACATCAAATGCCCCGATAGGAAGGCTAGAAAGTGTTAGATGAGCCGTCGCTGGTTGTCCGACCAACAACTAAAGAGTCATGATCAGCACACCTAAAGAGGTGGCCGATGGATTGGCGACCGATTGAGGAGTCGATGAGTCGACTGGCAGTGTTCCAGAGGTCGATGAGGTTAGCGGCGTCACCAGGGAAGGCAGAGATGCCATGGGACATAACGGACTGAAAGGTGTGAAAACACCTATAGTCTGCGTTCTGCCCGTAGAAAGGGTGGAGAACATGGTCGTCGGTCATAATGACCCGCTGGGTGCTTGATTCATGGTGATTGCTTCGATGAGGGAAGCTTGTTCGTTCAGAGACTTCTGCATAGCTTCAAGCGTCCTGGACACCCTTTCCTCCATAGTTTCTTATTGCTGAGATTCGTAAGTCGGTTGGTCACCTGTTAAGATGATTAACCGGGAGCGGTCGATTCGTCACTTGCAGGAGCGCTGGTGTTTCTTTTGTTCATCTCAGATGTTTGGGGGTTAACGTCGTCCATTTAGTCAGCCAAGGGCCCACGGTTGGTGCCAAACTGTAGAGGGTAAAATCTACTTAGAGAAATTAAAGGCCAATGACCGAGTTAGGAGTCATCGATTTTTGAAATTGATCCGTTGTAAGAACGAAATCGTTAGTAAACGTGAAAGTAAGTGAAAACAGTAAAAAGACACAAAAAATAATAGTGATTCTCATAATAATACAAGGTACGTCCACTGTAGGGCTCTATTAGTTTCACTTGGACTGCTAAAAAGCGTTACAATGAATTGTTTTGAGGAGAACGGGATGAGAGAGAGACATGTATGCTGGAAAATGCAGTAAATAATCGAGAAATATGTTGTAAGTGAGCGTGTGAGCTTTTGTGTGTTGTAAAAGCATGCCAAACTGTGTCCAAATGCCTTGTATTTATAGTTAATGAGGCTCCACGAGTTGTTTCATGATTTTCTACGTGATATGGCCTTCAATTTGTGATATTCCTTTCCTTCTTAAGCGCTGCATGACTTTCCTTAACAAGTTATGTCCATAATTGACTGGTCAATCATGGTTTCTTGCCCATTTTGAGTTGATTCGGCCTCTTTGTTGCCTGATTGTTGGAGATATAGTTTTGTTATGTGGAAGACAATCAATTTCATCTAATGAGAGGGTATCTTGCGGCCTAAGCCGATCGTTGACCTTTTTCCTCATTAATTCTTCTAGCTAGAGTAGTTGATTTCTTTCATTTTCTAGCTGATTGTGTCACCAAATCCCTATAAGGAATGTCTTGAAGATATCTCGTGACTTGATGCTCAAGATTGTTCGTCGACTCGTGAGATCAACTGATAGAGTTGATCAGTCGACCAATCTATTTTGCCTACTCGGGGAGTCGGGGTGACTCGTTTAGTGACCTTTCAGAGCTTAGGTTGTTACGTGTACAATGATAGATGAGGTATAAAATCTGACCTGAATAACAAACATGATATATTAAGTGAGTAATTGTCAAAATCAAAATCTCAGTTAAGTAGAATTTTTCAAAATCATAAATTTAGGGAGTAGTTTACCAATAAAAAAAAGTTTAGGAAACGTGTCAGCAAATGTATTTGAATCGAGATGTAAAGTTTAGATCAGTAAAGAACAAGCAAATCATCTTCGTTTTCCATACTATGCCTTTTGTTTTCCTCTCTCTCTCTCTCTCTCATGATGTTGAGCTTGGGACATGGTGGGCACTACAGCTATGGTTGCTTGCTGCCAATATATCGCATGAGTTCCACTCGCCACCGACAAAATATAAGAAGAGGAATGCCATATTGAATAGTGAAAGTCATTTTGTAACGCAAAATCTCTTTTGCACAACATGAAATTTTGGTAGTCTTATGCGTTGTCAAAGATTTTTTTTTTTTTTTTTTTACTTTGATAATTTGCAAGAAAAAGAAGGGAGCTAGTACAAAGAGTCTATGAAAATGAATTACATGTTATAAAACAGAAAAAGAAAATGGATCTAGAAATTAATTGCCTATGTAGATCCAAACTCATCAGCGGCCACTCAAATAATTCAATGATATGACATTTCTTTTTTCTTTTTTTTTCCCAATGAACTCAAATGTTTAATTTTTCTTTTTATTGTATGAATTTTCCTTTAAACTGTAGGTGAGAACCAACACGGAAGAGGAGGCTGCTTTTTTCTCTCTCTTTGATGGAAAAAGGAGGCTACTTTTTTATATTAAAAATTTTAGACGCGTTTAGAATTTATTTTAAAATAATTTAATTTTTTATATAAATATATTTTTAATCTCAAATATAAATTATTTTTAAAAATATATTTAATAATTTTATTAAGAGATTATTTTCAGTATAAAAAAATTTATTAATATCTTTTTTTTCTCTCTTTACTTGAGAGAGGAGAAAATGAAAATAAAAAATAAAAAACGACTAAATGTCATTTTTTATTTTTTTTTATTTTATATTAAATCAAAAAATTGTTTTTATTTTTATTTTTTATCTTTATTGTGCCAAATACTGTTTTATAATTTTTTTATTTTTTCTTTCTGACAAAACGTGAAAAATAAAAACAGGATCAATTCCAAACATAGTTTTATTTTGGACGACAGTTCGGCTGTTGTTATCTGATATGGAAGCTTTTCTTTTCTTTTACATATTGTTGTTAAACAGCCAAATTTGAAAGGTATTAGGCATGCGCGTTTTTCTTTTTTGCTTTATGAAGAAATATTAAATGCCCGATAAATGAATAATAATCTCAATCAACAGTATTACCGATCCACACATTTCTTTTTATTTCTTTTTATTTTGCTTTTTTTCCCCCCCCTTATTGACATACGTTTCTAACTTGTCTTGTCCACATAATTTTGGCTCCACTTATATACTACAATATCAGATATGTTCCATTCAGGCCAATTTCTTCTTTTTATTGGTTTCCCTCCTTTTCCTGGTTTGGCTAAACATTCTTATGTGCTACATTTCGTTATCTTATTATATAGGGGTGTAAATCAGCCTGTAGGGTCAGATTGAGCCGAAAATTGAGCCGACCCGATCAATGCAGGTTGACAAAATTTTAGACCGCAACACTCTCTTAAGTCTACAAACTCATAACCTTTTAGGTGATCTCGAGTAAAGTCGGGTTATTCGGGTTGGCAAGCATATTACTTGGGGGAAATATTTTTCATGCAATCTCAGCCAGCAAGTCGCAAGCTAGCACCGGAATTGTAGAAACATCAACTATTCTTTGAAGTCGAGAGTCTGAATTGCATTTTCCTTGCTAAAAAAAATCAAATTGATGTACAACAAATCAATTCTTACTTTTTTGTTTCAAGAAACGAATCAGTATGAATCACTTGTATGTTATAACAGGCATACGTAAGTAGTGTTTTGAACAATGCTCCATTAAATTGCAGAAAAGCTAAACAAAATATAAGCGCATTCACTTAACTTGTAGTGTTTTGAACAATGCTCCATTAAACATCCTAAACCAAACAAAATTGATTCAGCTCTAAACAAACAAGACACTTGAAAACTTGGTTCATAAAACATAAATCCCCTCCCAAGTGACCAATCTCTGTCAACCATAGGTCCTGAACAACTGCAAGAAAATATCAAAAGCAAGTATAAATAAACTGCAAAAAGAAGTAAGCAGATGACAATCACACAAAATGAAACTGGTTTAGTAAAAATTTGCAACTTAAAGCATTCACAAAACAGATAACCAAGATAAGAAAATGCACGTACAATAGAAAAAGATTAAAAAGATGAACAATTTCTCTAACACCAAGCAACATTATATACAATTATCCATTCAATACTGCCAGACTATGATTATGAAAAGCAAACAAAGAAACAAAACAAAAATTCCCGATAAATTACCTTAAATGTTTCTGGGGTACATGAAAACTCTTACTCTCGAACCCTTCAAAGCCAAGCAGAGAACAGAACAAAATCAGAAAACCCATTATTTGAATCATAACAAAAACAACGTTTGCAATTTCCATTTAACAATACCATAGATTTAGGCGGCAGGTTTGACTTGAACTTCGCACGAACAACACCACTGTTACCGTGAGGCCTGGTAACCTTGGCCACCTATATGATGTTAGATGAACGGTGAATCATAAAAAATCTGGAAGAAGAACAGGAACGGTGGTTTACGAGAACGGCGAGGAACGGCGAGAAACGGTGAAGAACGGCGAGGAACGGCGAGGAACGGCGAGGAATGGCGAGAAACGGCGAGGAACGGCGAGGAATGGCGAGAAACGGCGAGGAACGGCGAGTAATTTAGGGATGAGGGATTTAGGGTGAAGTGGAACGGAGAATGAGAAGGAGAGGCGAGAGACGAGAGACGAGAGACGAGAGGCGAGGAGGGAGGCGAGAGGCGAGGCCGCGAGAGTACAGTGGAGAGACTGAGGAGCGAGGACGAGGGATTTAGGGCTACAGGAAGCACGCCTGGCCTGGGCCCTGGGGGGGGGGGGGGGGAATCAAAACGGCCGGGTCGGGGCATTGTGGGTTCAAGCATGCCCAACCCGCCCCCCAACCGGCACAGTACGGGTTGGGATCATTTAAATTCGGGAAAAAAAAAACCTATTTAGTCGGTTCGGACGGATTATTCGAGTTCGAGCTCAATTCTTATTATACCATCTATTTTACAAGAATCCTTTATAATATAGTTTATCTCCACTTTTTTTTTTTTTTGCTGGAAACTTTAACTCTTTACTTAGCTTATTATAGGAGTTCATAAATAAATACACATGTTTCCCTAACCATCAACAAGTTTTCATCAAGTAAGGTTTTGGTGGATTTTGGGGGCTTGGGTTGGTATGTGTGAGGAGGTGCCGGTTATGGTGGGGAGGCTAGTGCAGGCATTGGGATTTTAAAGTCTAGAGAAATATTAGCATTATTGTTTCTGTTATTCTCTTTCTCACTTTCTAGATTTAGTGTTTGACACATAAAAATGCTAACAATTTTACTATTGTATGTGATCGATAAAGTTGTAAAACTCAAAACTTATAAATTTAAAATGAAAAAGGAAAAGAAAAAAGAGGAGAAATAAATTATAGCCAAAGAAAGTATGGCACAACTAGGAATACAAATGAGACCACTAATTAACTTTAGCAAGGCAGTAAAATGACTGAACTCTTTGGTCTCGTTCACTTCGCGGATTCGAGTTTTCCATTCGAGCCGAGATGTGACATTTTCTGATAGCTTTTTATTGTAGCAGAAAAAGTTAGATGTGACATTTTCTGAGAGTTTTTTACTGTAGAAATCTAAAACTGAAAACTCAAATCGGTGAAATGAACGAGGCCTTTATGTGTATTGTTAGCATTTAAGACAACCATTTTGAAAATGTGTATTGATTCTCTTTTATGTTGACACTAAATTGATTTTAGAATTATTAAATCTGTTAGTCTCTAAAATTTGAGTATGATGACAATTTAGTCTTTAAATTTTTAATTTTAGCATTCTTAATCTCTAAATTTTTGTTTTTTTTTTTTACTGTTTTTGTCCTGATAGTAAAATTGACTACCAATTTCTTCAGTTTAACGTAGCTTTTAATAGATGGAGATTTAAAAGACAAAAAAGAACCAAATATATAGCTTTTGCACGGATATTCAATAATTAAGCAAGACGACAGTGACGACCTAAGATAAATACATACAAACTCGCTGATTAATCAATGATCATTTGCTCGTCAACTTTATTAACCAAGAGTCAACGTAGAAAGCAAGGAAGAATATATTGACCATGTACTCGTCTATATGTGTGTGAATATATATATATATATATATATATAAGAAAATGAGATAAATATCCTTTTAAATTGATGAGTTTAATTTTTAACTTTTATATTTAATTAATATCATTTTATTTAAATAATTATATTAA